GAAACTCACAAAATTGATTTCTGGTAATACTGAAATCTGTAGGGTCACTTACCAGTTTGATATTAACTTGCTGCTGAATATTCACCAGTATGCTAGTCAAAGACAAATATGGTGAAGGGGATTGATTATCTTTTATATTAACATGTACTGCATACTGGTATTTATTTTATATTAAAGGAAATAATTACTGAAAAGAAGCCTAATGGGTTAGAAATAATGAAATACAGTTTAATATTTTCGTAGTGGCAATATTGATAATATTATTTTACATATGTATAGATTAAAATAAAATTTAGCCCTTCATCTATTTCTAGACAATATCTTAAGCCTGTTTCTACTCTTTGAACATAGCTGAAACCTGAAACTGTAAATGTACGTATCCTTTATATATTTCTAACTAGGCAGCTGTTTATCTTTGTGTAAGATAACATCTAATGATGAAAATTTCCAAGTTGCACTGGACTATTAGGCATTGCATTACCATAATTTAACAAATAAAATAACACATGCATGATCAGTATATACTTGAGATAGGCAAATAGAAATTCAGTTTAAATCTTCCTCTCATCACTAAGTTGGAAATGGACTCTTAGTTATTGCAACTAACCATATAATTCTGTGTTTTGGATAGAAATGGTGCTTGCTCCCTGCTAGCTTTTAATTGGCATCATTTCTGCCAGAACTCTCCATCATTATTGACAGGAATGTTCTCCCTTGTTAATTGCCCAGCAGCACATTGAGTGATTGATTGGATCCCTAGGGCAGATTAGAGATGTGCTGGCATAAAAGGGTGGTGGCATATAATCCCCATCTCCTGGTAATGTCACCAACTAACTGCTTATTTAGATTTGTTCCGGAAAAAAAACACTGATCATTTACTTGAATTTTTCACTTTTTATACAGATGTGCTGATGGTAAATAGTGATGGCTTACAAGAATGTGCCATATTGACTCAACTGTTTGTAAAGACCCTCTCAGGTTGTCCATAAATCTCCCAGTTTTATGGTCAGTCAGTGGGGGCGCGAGACCCAGATAATTTATTTGACATATAAACAGGAAAAACCCATTGTATTTCCATTGTGGGGGATTGTTTTAATTATGAGCCAGCAATTGCTAGATCAATGAAAAGAGTTTTTAAATTGAAAACTGAGAGTGCTTAATGTTTAATAGTATATGATTTCCTTTTAACACAGAGGCAACTAGAGTAAATAAATAAGATGCATGCTTTTGTGAGAGTTGGACTTTTAAGGTGATTTTGCCAGGAAGTTATTCCAGTCACCTGTCCAGTCAACTAACAGCACCAACAGTGTTTTTGTAACTATATAATGAAGTATTTGGTCTGGATCACTGTTTATTTATGCATTGGAATCACCTGAGAAAGTTTTAAAACTATGGATGCCTTTGTCCTCCCCCAATAATACTGATTTCATTTGTCTAGGCAGAGCCCTGGTTCTCTGCTGTTTATCTGAATCACAATCACCTGGCAAATTTGTGAAAAATATAAAGGCCCAAGCCAAACCCTATCCTACTTCAAAAAGCCTGGGTCTTTGTGTTATTAACTCTCCAGGTGGTCCTGATAACATCAAAGTTTGAGAATCACTGGCCCAAGACACAGCATCAGAAGTTTTAAAAAGTCCTCCAGATGATACTGATGTGCAGTCAAGGTTGGAACCATTGATATAAATTATATTTAGGATTTTTTGAGATCTGGTAGAAACAGTTAAAATTGCTGCCTTTTATTAAGCATTTATTGTGTACTAGGCATTTTGCTAAGTATTATTTCATTAAACCAAAATCAAACCCAACTCACTACTGTTGAGTGGGTCCTGACTCACAGCAACCCCTCCTTGGGTTTCTGAGATGGTATCACTATGGAAGTAGATTGCCCAATCTTCCTTCTGAGGAGTGGTTGGTGGGTTTGAACTGCCTGCCTTCTGGTAAGCAGTCAAATGCCTTAGTTACTACATCACCTGAGCTCCTATTAAATAACCACAAATCTTTGTGAAGTAGATAATAAAAGTGCAACTTTGCAGATAAGAGACTGAGAGGGTAAGTGTTTTAGCTAAGGTCATGCAGGTAGGAAAGGGTGGATTGGAACTCAAACTATTTGAACTCAAAGGCCCCAAAATAAAGTACTACTATTAATAATCTTCAAGGAGCTCTGGTGGTGGAGTGGTTAAGGCATTTGGTTGTTAACCAAAAGGTTGGTGGTTTGAACCCATCAATCTCTCCATGGAAGAAAGATGAGGTGGTCTGCTTCTGTAAAAATTTATAGACTTGGAAACCCACTGGGAGTTGCTATGAGTCAGAATCAAGTCAATAGCAGTGAGTTTTTTTTCCTTTGAGTTTGAATTAATAATCTTTGGAGATTAAAGAGAGGTCAAAAGCTCTAAACGAGGAAAATGTTTTAAAGGGTTCTTAGATGAGTTTCTTATATCTTAAAATGTTCTTGATTTGCAATTATATAACAAAAACAAAGGAAAAGATCTTTTTTGAATAAAAATGAGGAATATAGGAAAAAAAAATCATGAATTAAAAGGAAGGAGAAAGCTGACAGGGAGAAGCAGGTAGATTTGAATTATTCTGTGTACTCTGGGAAGAAAATTACAGATTGCTTGTATTTTAGCATTTGAGAATTTAGAATAAGAATTGCAGAGTATTTTGCCATAGTTACATTGAGGGACAATGTGACAAGCACTCCTGAGAAAAGAAGAAATTTGTATACTTTTATTTGAAATGGTTCCAAGTAAAAGAAGTTTATACTGCATGACGCTTCCTTTCCTTCCTTTCATGTTTGGGAAGATACAGGCTCTATGCCCTCTCAGGCATGGAAAATGCTTTGGCTACTGCCATTAGTCACACTTGTATCTGCACAGAGAAGAGAAAGCACCAAAGCCAAGTATGTTGTCAGTCTTAGAGAGAGAAGCATTTCTTGGGAGACTGCCTTGTTTCTCTCAGGACACAACCTTTCCCAGGTTTTGTACATGGGTTACATGCATAGGGTCAATATTGAAATGTTGGAGGAATAAACATCTCCCAGCATTTGGTGGTGTCATAGTGCCTAAGGCATTTGACTGCTAACCAAAAGGCTAGTGGTTCAAACCCACCAGCCACTCCTCAGAAGGAAGACTGGGCTATCTACTTCCATAGTGATACCCCCTCGGAAACCCAAGGAGGGGTTGCTATAAGTCAAATTTACTCAATGGCAGTCAGGTTTTTTTTTTTTTTAGCATTTAAAATAATACTGATAAGAGAGAGATACTGAGGGCATTTCTGTAGAATGTTAAGTTTACTGTTCTCATTTAAAGAAGTAGATACTTTCACATTCCATGGACTGTTCTTACTGATGAGCAAATTAAGCCTCTATGCCCATTGATGATATTTCCCTAATGACACCAATACTGAACATTCACTGTAGGAGAGCATTGATTTTCACCACTCTGAACAGTCCAAGACATAGCTCCTAATTCTGGTATGTGAGTGTTCATTATATGATATGCATAAAATATACATATTCAATTATGTTAAGACTGTGCATGCACAGCATAGGACAAGTATACTGCCAACAAGCTATTGGGAGTCCTTAAATATATTTCTATTGCAAATAATGGATGGTACTATGATACTTCCCACAGAATTGAACTCTAGAATTATTTTAACAAAGAATAAATTACATTTGATCTTTAAGTAATATGGTAATATTAAAAAAAGTGTAGGGAATAGGTAAAGTGTCTATATTTTTCTCAAATTAATATGGTTTAAAAACAATGTTTCAGGAAAATACTAAAGGAAAGACAATAGCTGGATTTGGATTGTAATGCCAAATATAATTCTTATTTCTGTGGAATAATAATGATACAACATGTTCAAAAATACTTTGGTAATAAAGCTGTGTTCTGCTGGAAGTGGCAGAAAGGCAAATTGCAGGCAGTGATTGACAGTAGAAACCACTGAAGGGAACTAGAGGTTCTTAATGGAATAGGTGTCCCAACCTTAATTGTGGCCAGCCAGCTCAGCTGGGGCTCTATAGTTCTAGAGAGCTGGTATTGATTCCTAGCTAAGACCACTCCACAATCACAGAAGCAGCAGCAACAAGAGATATTAGCTGGAGGAAGATCTTCAAGAGGAAGCACTGGGCATTCTCCCTGCTATGGGAAAGATCCACACAATATTTAATCCTATGTCAGGGAAGGAGGCTGAATTGATCCTAACACTGGAACTTCACCCAGATTTAATTTTCCAAAGAGACGCACACACCTTTCAGGGCAACTTTGCCAGGTCACGTCCCTTTTCTTTGGAAGCTCAGCCTGGGGCTCATCGTCAACAAGCTCTGAGAGACAAACAGGAATCAGCAAACTCCATTTCTCCAAGAGGACCCAGGCAAGTGGAGGTGAAGAGGAAACCTCGGGGCAGTGGAGGGCTGTGACAGGAGGGAGGCGGGGGCCCCGGGAGGGGAAGGATCTGGAGGACAGGTCTGACTCCTGACTGGTTGGAGAGGTTTTGGAGAAGTCACAGCTAGGGCTCGCCAGTAGGGAGCTGTCCAACTTTTCAGCAGCTCTGTAACCATAACCAGGGTTCGGGTTCTCTGGACAGAGGCGGCGGCTGCCGCTCTGCCACTACCGCTGTCTCTGTAGCTCGAACTGCTAACAATTCCTTCTCCCACCGCCGGCGCCCAAAGGAAGGAAGGGAAGAAGAAAGGGAGGAAGCAGAAACGATTTGCGAAGCCGTTCACCGAGTGCCCGGGTCTTAATGATTTGGGGAGCACAGGAGCGCATTTCTGCCACAACCACTGTGGAGGAAGCCCCGTAGTTCTGTGACCCCTCCTCTGGCAGAGCCCCTTCTTGGTCGCCCGGAGCCTCTTGTGGCTCAAGTGGGAAGCTGAGCCCAGTGTCGGCACAGCTCCAGAACCAGAAGCAGCGGCGGCGCAGCGGCATCCGGAGGCGCTCTGAGCAGCGCGGTGAACCCCGGCTGGGCAGCAGGACGCGGAGCCGCGAGCCAGGATGGATACAGAGGGCAGCAGCGCGCCAGCTCCGGGCAGCGGAGAAGGGGGCGACAGTGCCGGTGAGGCTACGCTCAAAGCCCCCAAGCATCTGTGGAGGCACGAGCAGCAGCACCACCAGTACCCGCTCCGGCAGCCCCAGTTCCGCCTTCTGCACCCCCATCACCATCTGCCCCCGCCGCCGCCGCCCTCGCCCCAGCCCCAACCCCAGTGCCCGCTGCAGCCGCCACCACCACCACCCCCCTTGCCGCCACCCCCGCCGCCGCCTGGGGCAGCCCGCGGCCGCTACGCTTCCAGCGGGGCCACCGGCCGCGTCCGACATCGCGGCTACTCCGACACTGAGCGCTACCTGTACTGTCGCGCCATGGACCGCACCTCCTACGCGGTGGAGACCGGCCACCGGCCCGGCCTGAAGAAATCCAGGATGTCCTGGCCCTCATCGTTCCAGGGACTCAGACGGTGAGTGGCGAACGTCCCCTCCCCCATCAGGAAGGGGTCCCCTCCCCCTTCTCAAATTCTTCTCCTTGGTTTGTTACTACCAACCCTGGACCAGTGGCCAGATTCCATTCTGGGAGTTGGGGGAGGGCGAGCAAGGGGCGCGAGTAGCATAATCTGTCCTTCCTTGCGAGGATGTTGATTCAGGTGTGTAGGGGAGGGACCCCGAAAGTACGGCATGAATATTAATTGGAATTGTGTGTATGTGTGTGCACGCGCGCTTCCCAGTCGTCTGTGCCACCCACTATCTCCCCTCCCCACCTACCTCTTGCTCCAGGAGGAGGAGGCAGGGTTGAGGTGGGGCGGGGGCTTGAGCCAGGAAAGCACCCAGTCATCTGTCCACACCTCCCCGAGTGAGGAGAGGTCGGCGGGAGGGGTCTGTTGGAGGGGGCGGAGTGAATGAGACAACAAGGTCCCAGGATTGCAGCTGAAAGCCTGAGAACAACTCGAGTTTCTTTTGTGGAGTCGGGAAAGTAAATTGAGCAGGGAAAGAGGAGAACAAACACGTGGGTGACTTGGAGAGTTTGGAGCAAAATGTTCAGCAATCCTTACTGGGGAGAAGGAGGGAAGTAAAGGAGGGAGCAAGGACTCTGTGGGAGTAACGCTGTGTCCGTGTGTGCGAGCGTGTGGGAATCAAGAGTTCCCTGCAAAATCCCAGGAAGAAAGCACCTCGTTTTAGCAGCAGTCAAGATGTGGAGATTTGATTATAGTGATTTCTCCTTAACGTAAAGTGCTCCGGAAGACCGGGAAGGGAAGCCCTACGTCAAGAGGGAGTTGATGCCTGCAGTTCTTTTTCCAAGGAAATGAGTAGTGTAAAGAACCAATTATAGCCGCCCTGAGGAGTCAGCTCCAGATTTTTAACTCAGGGTTAGGGCTGGGAGTTGGGCCCTCATGTGGCCCCTTTCTTGGCAACCCTGAGAAGCTCTTTTCTTCCCCGGGGCCTTCCATGCTAGGGTCCCTTATCCTCTGCAAACATACACGCAAATAAGGTTTCTGTAGCTGATGATACTTGGTGCACTTATTTACAAAATAAAGCCTCCATGTCTAACCTTTGACTTGGACAGGCATTGATAGGGTGCACATCCAACTCACATATCTGGACGATGCATAATTGTAAAATGTAAATCAGGGCTGGGTGTGGAAACAATGAAATCTCAGGCTGGGGTTATTTGTCCCAACTCTGATTGACAGTCGGTTGGATTTATCAGAAAATTTATTTTAATAGAGTGTCCAAATGTGCATTTGTCTGAGGGTTTTAATTTGGTGTTGGATGCTTTTCATTGTGAGCATGTCTTTCAATGTGCTGTGTACACTCTGGGTAAGGGAATTCAGCCAAACCATGCATCTCACCCCTAATGTGCACACATTCTGTTCCTCATTTACCTTCCTTACCTGCCTTGTTTGTGATGTTCTTGTGCACCTTGGATTCAAAAAAATGAGGATTATAGTTAATATTCTCAGTTCAGATCAATTTCAACTTTGAAGATTTATATGAATCACAGACATTCATAAATTAATCTGCATGTTTTTACAGTCCTGACTGCTAAAACACACATGTAGTTTTATTCTTTGTTTGAAGAGGTGGATGTTCTCCCCTTAGGCTGAGTACTACATTTTGTGGGTTCCCAGTGGTAGAATATAGACTAACATGAGAGTTTGTATCTGTGACCCATTAATAGAAAAATTTTGTGTGGTGATGAGCACTTAATCAATGTCAAATAAGAATGAGAGTTCCAGCTTGATCTGTAGGCTCATTGACTTTGTGGAGTCTCTTAATTGGCTTCATTTTTAAAATAAAATAGAATTGGTTTGCAACAATAGTGGGGAGAAAAACAATAAGCTAATTGGAATAGAGGTATTGCATCACTGATTTGAATTTATTTTTGTTATGCTCTCTACATTGATTGATTGTTCTATTTGAAATTCTGTAGTTGAATGGTTTACAGAAAAACTAAGATGTGTAATATTTACATGTAGCTTTCACTGATAAATCATTGTTATTCTATTTAAGGATCAGTGAACTTAAAATTCTTTACATCACTTGTGTTTTCCTATATACTAGTTGGTTGTCAGTCTTTTCCTTAATAGAGTTGTTTTTGCAAATAAATGTATTTAAGATGAGAGCATGGGCATCAGTTTAGTTCTTTAAACAGAAAAATAAAATACTTTAAAATTCTCAAAAAATATTCACATTTATTAACTTCTTTGAGCCATACAAAAACACTGAGATGATATGCCCATTGGTGTTATATCCATTTTACAGACAAGAACAGTAAATGCCAAGATGATGGGAGTACCTTTTTCAGAATCACATAGAACAGGAGTGCCAGATTTGAGACTGAAACTGAGGTCTCCTGTCTCAACAAAGGCAATGGGCTCTTCTAAAATAAATGTGCCCAGAACCTGGGCACATTCACAGCATCAAGTTATATTCATTGATACCACAGGTCATAAAGTCCATATGAACTAAAAAAGAGATATTGTTTACACTCAGTTTTTGAAAACTGACAGCGAGCACAGGTTTCTGGAAGTGTTTGATAGCTTCTAACTTTCATGTGAAGTCCTGATTCTTACACTGATATTATGATCACAGCACAGGTAAACCAGTGTATCTGTTGACTTTGTACAATGCATATAATAATAAATAATGAAACAGTGTTCAGAGGAATTAAAGCTAATCAGAGCACCTCAGGTTGTTCTCAGTGATCTTCTAAAAGGGAACAAGAAAAAATGTGAGATGTGAGGGGTGTGTATGTGCACATGGTGTGTGCACAACTATCAAAATAGGGTTTTCAATTGTCAAGTTAATGTCTCTGAAAAAGCTCATGGATGAATGATTCCCTATAGATTGTCAAGAAAGGCATTTTTTTTTTTTTTAAATAAAGAGGTGTTTTAGCATGTATAATTGTAGCATTTCAAAATATTGTTATTATCTGGGCTAAAAATTTGAGAATTAGTTTCAGTGTATGAAGCAATAAGAAAGAAAAATACTTGGTTTAATTAAGAAATTTGTATGAACACAAAGGATACAACCTTCAAACATTTCATGGCCCGCTGTTTTGAGGTCATGGACAATGTATATATGCTAAATAAATTTTGCATTCAAGTTTATCTACCTGAAATAACCATTTTTTTTTTTTAATCTGAACATGGAAGGAATTTTAAAGAATAAAATTGCCAGAAGAGTGAGTCATGATGTCACCAAGAGAACCAAATGAAATATGAAAATAATTAAAACATCCTTTAAAAATGTATATATCAATTCAATTGATAGTCCCTCAATACTTAACAATAGTTTAGCTGTACTGATGTAGCATTTTAATTATTTCTTTCCTTATCAGTAATGTGTCTTTTAAAATCTACAGGAACTGTGTATTCTCAACAGCAAATTAAATTTGAAAATTCAAATAGCAAAAGTGATTCCTTTATATTAAAAAAAAAAAAAATCCAGATGATAGAGATGTAAATATCAAGAAGGTGACATTTGACTTTATTATTTTAGAAAGAAAATAGCTAAAAATTATAATTGCACCAAATATAAGTGCCATCCATATTATAAAGTGCTCCTATGACCCTATAAAATATTTCTTTGACTTTATCCTTTTAAACACATTAACATAACGTATAAAAAATAGAAACATAATATATACCAAAGGTTAATTATATTGCAATATTTAAATACTCAAGAGTGTGTGCTCTGGTAGCACAGTGCCTAAGGCATTTGACTGCTAACCAGACAGCTGGCGGTTCTAACCCACCAGCCACTCCTCGGAAGGAAGATTCGGTGATTTAATTCCATAGTGATACCACCTTGGAAACCCAAGAAGGGGTCTCTATGAGTTGGATCCAACTCGATGGCAGTGAGTTTGGTTTATTTAAATACTCAGAATTGACTGAATGGCAGTAGATTTTTTTTTTTTAATTTAAATACTAAAATTAATTCAAGTGCTTGCTTTTTTACTCTAAGTCAGGAAATCTATTTCTCTTGTTTTTATTGATTTTGTCAAAAAATTTTAGTGCAGATTTTTTTTATTAAAGGACATAATGGAAATCTAAGCTCAAGACACATAATTTGCATTTTATGCTACTAAAATCACTAAAAAGTTGGTCATTCCAATTGTCTGTATCAGTGAATCCAAGCTTCTGGATTTTAGAGAACAGTACCATCATAGATAGATAGATATGCACACACACACCCGTTGGTGTTGAGTGTCATTGAGTTAATTTTGTCTCATAGTAGCTCCATGTGACAGAGTAGAACTGCCCCATAGGGTTTTCTAGGCTGTAATCTTTATAGGGAGCTCTGGTAGCATAGTGGCTAAGGCACTTGACTGCTAACCAGAAGGCTGGTGGTTCAAACCCACCAGCCACTCCTCGGAAGGAAGGTTGGGCAATCCTACTTCCGTAGTGGTAGTGATACTGCCTCGGAAACCCAAGGAGGGGTCACTATGAGTCAGGTGTGACTCGATGGTACACAACAACAACAACAACAACAATCTTTATAGGAGCAGATCACCAGGTCTTTCTTCCACAGAGCCACTGGATAGACTCGAACCACCAACCTTTCACTTAGAAGCTGAGCACTAAACCGTATAGTAGATAGACAGAGAGACAGATAGAGATGTGTATACATACTGAGTAACTGACATAAGATTTCCAACTGTATATTTTAATAAGTTAGGACATCAAATATATTCAAATACCAAAAATATAAGGAAAAACATAATAAAATATAACCTTTTATAGTGAATAAATTTAATATTTTAAAATATCACTACATTGTCATTTACTCAAGAACAAATGAAAAGTTAAGCAGAGATTAGTAATTGGGAATCATCGGTCTAGAGTACTGGAAAGTATCATTTTAACTATGTTTCCCTTCTTTGAACTGACTATTTTAGTGTGTTAAAGATGTACCTTCAAGAGTACATGGCCACATACTAAGTCTGATTATCTAAATTGTA